GCTATTGTTTGATAAAAAAAATTCGTTTATATTTTTTGTCAATTTTCTTAGTGACAATTTTTTAACTACTCGCAATCGTTCACCACCGCACACAAACTTAGCAAACACATTTTGATTTAGCAAAAATGATTTTTCTTTTATAAATCGTGGGAATTCCGAATTTTTGGCTCATAATCTCTTTGGTACCCAGAGACAATTTTTGGATATTCCGATTTAAAGAATAACCATCCGTAAGGGAATCAATCCCTTGTGTTACCAATAGACCACCACACCTTTGGTAAAAATGATGATGTTTTGGCAATGTAACATCTACTAATTTAGCTATTTTTTTTTTTCACAATCAGAATCACCGAGGCAAATGTGGATGAATTTATTTTCCAGTATAAAATGAACAATATGTACTAACCTTGTGATTTGTGAACGCTTATAGTTCCGAATTTGGAGATGACTTATGTTCTTTATGAAATTATACAAACGTTAATTCTCTACTTATCATGTGTGTGCTTTTGTTTATGTTGTAGAGAGATGAAGAGTGTAAGATGTTAGTCTATTTATAAATAAACAACATTGGCATCCTTGACCTAATAAATGGGTCTTATTACAAAAATAACTTAAATATCTTTTTTTGTATTTGCTAAAAGCTTAAATAACATAAATATCTTTATTTGTATTTAAATGGTGGTTTAGTAGTTAGTACCAAAACACTCTTTTGAATACCGTGTGAAGTTGGGACGTTTCTTTCTTATCTTTTCATCTTCTCAATTAACAATTCGACAAATAACCCTTAATTTCTTGTAAATTAGATATATGAAAAGTACAATTCAGTAGAGATAACCATGAAACTGATCTCGGTAAAGGCTCTCTAATCATGAAACTAATTGAGAAAAACTAAATATAACTTAACTTTAAAATCTTTTATTTGTTTTAGCTTACTACAAGTGAAACGACCCAACCCAAAAATTTAAAAAATTTCCAATTAAATTCGGATTATCATTATCACAAATGATAATCTTCAACAAGTCAACTCAGTACATGCGAAAATCAGAAAGCCAATCAATTAAACCAGATAGACCAATCCATAAATCTCATACTTTATTAAGTTACTAAATCAATTCGATCACAAACCAATTCAATTCCAATACGAATAACCAAC